CCCCCCCCCCCCCCCCTACTACCATGTGAGTCTGTGCACATGAGAGCTGTACTGCAGTTTGCTACGGCTGTAGTTAAATATTTCCTGCAGGCCAATGGATTTTCTTTTTTAGTTTAAACCGTAAAATATACCATGACACCGTTAAATATGATACCTTGGATTTGAATTCATGTAGAAGTGGAAATATGTCTTCATAGAATTTGATTTCATGAGCCATTTCAATGTATGCATCCCAGTCCTTCAGTTTATCATTCCAGATTTGACACTCAGACCAGTATTCTTCAATCTTCAGGGAAAGAACCATATTTAGCCATGAGTAAAATGTATTCATATGCACAAAATGAACAAAATGATCTTTAACTAAATAAGCTGAGCTTTGTCGGAAAGTTAAACCGGTCATTCAAATACACTATAGCCTGTCTTTCAAGTACTTTATTCACTTGTATTTAAGAATAATTATTTTATCCATTGATTGTGCAGGCCACATGGTACCGGTTCTTTGACACCCCTGTGTTACACTAATGATAGTGTAGGGACTCTGCCTTAAGATGGAATGTGCCCAGTGTAAATTTAAAGTTTGCCGCTAGGCTGTAGCCAGCCTGTGCTTTTGTTTATGTAATATTTGCAGAGACCTTCTAAAAGAGTTCTTTCCTTCCCAAGATTTCACCGGAGAGGATGTCAGTGGGACGGATCCTTGCCTTTGGGCCTGTTGCCTGAGGAGGGTGTGAGTCCAGAGGTCCTTCCCCTCTTAGGCCTAATGCCTTAAGCGGGTATAGCTCCAGAGAGGTCAAGTTAATTCTTCTCAGGCCTGCTGCCCGGGGAAGGAAGCTGAAGAGGAGTTCTACTTGGACAACTTGCCATTCTTGGAATAAAGGTCCACAGCTAGCCTATCAGAGGGCAGAAGATACTAGCTGCCCATGTGGCACCTAATGTGCATTAGCCTGTGGCAGAGTCATAAAGATACCGAGAGTCCATAGAGTAAATACTACAGAGTAGAGGGATTTTTGATGCTGGTTTGGGGTACCCTCTCCCTCAGACATCTGAGCCAATACAATTTGCAAAAAGACTGACAGAAGAAGAAGCCTTTCTGTTGGTTGCTGTTGGTGAGTGGTTGGGTGCAGTTAGAGGACAAATCTCCAATAGGAAGGTTAGAAGAGCCCGTTAAATCTAGCAGAAAGTACCACAATATTATAACATGCGGCTGTTGTGTATGTCAATGCCTAAACAGGTCACACTGTAAAGAATTGTGTAACACAGGAACCGACTTTTATTGTGTGCCAGGTTATCACCAAATACATATTCAGTTTTGTATGATAATTAGATGTATAATGTGGGGAAAATGTGGGGAAAATGTGGGAAAAATATTCTTTGAAACACATTTATTTATTTTTATGAATTTTATGGACAACGTTAATTGAATATTTTTTATAGACTGTCGGATTATTTCTGGATGGCTGGTATGAAGCCAATGCTCCTTCTTAACACATTTATACACGATTTATATTACTACTTAAACCATCAGCATAGCATTGTAAAATAAAAAAATGTCCACACCTCCTGATTACTTATGGTTAGATCTACTTCTGCCCATAGAGTGTTCCTGAATCTTTGATCAAAGCCAATGAACTTCTGAAACAAGATATAAAGTGTTCCCAGTAGCTGCAGATCCTAAAAGTGTAACATAAAATGGAATATGTAAAAAAACACGGAAGTGTTAGGCATTCATATGGCAAGATACAGTAAAAACATCAAAGAAGGATGTCATTACCAAAACATGGCTTCTTGTTACACTAATTATATTTCTTAAATAATTTTACTATACCTTTCCAGTCCTGTCCAATTCTCGGAAAGTCTTTGGAACAATATTGAATAGCCTTTGTACTGAATTCAGTGTTTTCCTTTTAGCATCAAAGATTTGGTATCTGAAAAGAACAGTTGCTCAATTGGATATGAATGTGTTATAACATTGAACATAATTTACATATTTATTATTACTAAAGTTTAAAGGATTTGTATGGGGATAACCCGAATGTATCCCTTAACCTCCTTCTTCCCCTTTACAGTATATCCCAGCATTCATTTTTTCATACCTTGTTTCCCTAAGAAGAAAAAGCGCTTATTGCTCTCTATGATGCCATTCAGTGGCGTAACAACCGGGGGTGGTGGATCCAGGAATCAGGTGAGTATTAGAAGAAGAAAAAAAGTTTAATTTTATGTTCTATTCTTAGTTCTATAAAAGCATTGTAGTACTTTCAGGTGGAATACAGCTTCATAACATATCAGCTAGGGAATTACAAGTCCCAGCATGCCCTCATTGCCCAGATATTGCCGTTCCCTGGGTGATATGTGTGTGTGTGGGGGGGGGGGGGGTACAGGGACAATGATGGCATGCTTGGACTTGTAGTTCCTTAGCTGATATATATGTGTGGGGGTGGGGGGTATAGTTCCAGTGGATGTTTATATAATATGGGGGGGGCGAAAAAAAATTCTGCCCCGGGCGCCCATAACTCTGGTTACACCACTGATGCCATTACCAGACTTTTCATGAGAGATTGTAGGGAGGAGGGATTAGCAGAATGACATACTGACATAGGTACTCCCTCTTTCCTAAAACCACATCTCCCAAGAGCCCTTTCCCTACACTCAGTGTGCTTGGAAGTGAAGGCAGCATTCAATATTTTGCTGGGAAACAAAAACAATGTATGCATGGGCGTCCCCACTGTGACGTCATCGTGCATGCGTGTGACGTCACCACGCGTGTGCCTGATGACATCGTCGCGCATGCGCTGCGATCTTATGGATACCTGCCGGCGGCCATCTTGGTGATGGAAGCCGGCAGAGAGAGGAGAGGACAGTTACGCGGTGGGATAAGGCATGCCACCGGGTCCCCTCCTCTCTCCCGAAACTGTCAGGCTCTCAGTCCATGACCGAGTGCACGACTTTTCAGAGGGGGTGACACCAAAATGACTGTCAGTCATTTTGGTGTCACACCTCCAATTGTGTCACCCGGGTGCGGGCCGCACCCCCCTTGTGACGCTATTGCATGTATGTATGTGGAGGGGGACAGCAAATAATGGAGATAGGCCGAGTTCTGTAGCCTAGTGGGGAAGAACTCAGGCAGGGATGACAATACTACTTGCGATTTCAGTGCAGCAGAAGCAGCGTTCTCAGCTCAATATAAGAAGTTATGAACTCACTGTATTTTTGGCAGGATCACCAGGTAGTTTCTGTACTTCCAGCATTTTAAATGTATAAAACATGGGAAATGTGCATGCATTGAAGATATGCAATGTACATCTTTTTATATTTTGCCCATACATGCACTTTAACGCTTGCCTTGAATCATTGCCGTTACTGGAATCTTGCCATTCCTCTGTTATTCATCATAGACTCCTTTTTCTAATTCATTTTACAATGGTTTTTATATCACAAAACATTGCGATTTCAAATGCCATTGGAAAACATTTTTGTATAAATAATGGATTTCAATTTATAACCATTGTTCTAGAATGACTAAAAATACAGCTTTGTATAGACTTAATTTTTTTGTTATAGGTATAGTATGTTTAAAACTTTAGCATTTTTTCATCTGTAGGGATTAAAATAGCATAATTTAGATCGATAACACCTTATTAAAATACATGATGCAATGGGCAGATAGTTACTTACTTCTCATTGAAATCATGCAGCCTAGTCACAGCCTCTTCTGGCTTCACTCCAGGCGCTGCTGGGCCTTGTGTATCAAAACGATTGCGAAACTGGATCACCTCTACAATAAAACTCTTTCAGAAAGTAGAAACATAATTGCATTAGCTAAAAACTATAATTTTGTTGATGAATGTTGATAAGTATTACTTGTTACAGCTGTTTTTATTATTTTATTTTCTATACATTCAACAAACTTCATTTTGCAGCAGTCACATACAGTAATCTTTGTTGTCAGTTGCAAAACTAAATACAGTGTTTTGTTAATTAAATAGCAAGAAATGCATATTTCTTTTCTACAATAAGCACAAAAAAGTCTGAAATTGCGCAAAAATGTTGATGCTTCCTGAGCTGATCTTCCTGTTAAAATTCTTAGTAGGTGGAAAAAGAACAATAAGATTGGCCAATAGCTTAATTCTATGTTGAAACACAGTTTTCATCATTACAGACCAGTATCCTAAATGCTTGAGAAACGTAAATGACCACCAGCTTATATTTACAATTGAATATTTATTAATTGTATTTAAATGCTGATTTACATATTCACTCATTACATTTCACATTATGACATTTTATAATGATGAACATAGCTGTTTAAGCAAGGAATGTTCTGTATAAAGCCACTTTCATATGGCGTTCTGATCAGCTGTCTTTTTTTTTCAGGCGGATCTGAATGGATATGTTTAAATACGATTACCTACAGGTCCATCTAGGTCTGGAAATAAAACGGAACAGAGTTCTGTTTTGGTGGAACCTGATCATGATGGATGTAAATGGACTCGTCTGCTTACATCTGATTTTTTTAGACCTAACATGGGCCTGGTAAGTTCAGTTTTTTTCCTCCATCACAAGATGGAGGAAAAAACAGAATGGACACAGATGTCAGAAAAGTGATATCAGCTCCGTACAGCTCCAATCAGCATGCAATCTGTGCATTGATCCCCTGCTGATCAGAACGGACACCGTCCATGTGAAAGTGGCCCAGCTTAATTATCTGACTGAATGATGGTGATGTTAACCTAAATAATTAATATTTAATCTCGAGAAACGAAAGAGTAGAAGTAGTTCTCTACTTTTACACTCAAATTGGAAAGCACCTTAAAGGAGAATTATGGGATGAGTGAAATACACTCATCCCAACAGTTAGAGCCGATGTGTGACACTGAAGCTGATCGAGAACTGAGCGATCACAAACCACTGATCGGTCAGTTCCCGATCTTCTCCCTGCAGAGAGCGGTGACTGTTAGTCACTGCTTCCCACAGGGATTCCCCCTCCCCTCTCTGTTTCTCCAGGGCTGACTGGAGAGGCAGAGCCAGTTGTCAATCAGGTAGCAGGGAGGATTCTGACAATATTGTCGGGATCCGTCCCGGCTGCAGTACGCCTGAGTTTTGGGTCACAGGAGGACATTAGTAAATGTCCTCCTGTGACCCTAAAAAGAACTACGGGCCAAAAAGGTTTGGCTATAGTTATCTTTCAAATGCATTAACAAACAACACTTTAAATTAGGGATGCACCGATATATCGGCCGCCAAAACATATCGGCCGAAAATTGCACTTTTGGCTAAATGCCGAAAGTGCCTTTTTCCTGCCGATACATCGGTGCATCCCAGGTTTCTTTCCTGCCTGCTGGGCGCTGCTCTGTGTCCCAGCAGGGAGGAGAGAAAGTGTGACAGCCGGCCGAGCGCTGCGGCAGGAGAGCGATGTGAGCGGCCGGTGTCTCTCCCACACCGCTCAGCCGCCTATCACAGTCCGGCAGAGCGGTGTGGGGGGGGGGGGGGGACAGCCAGCGCTGTCACAGGAGGCTGGGCTCTCCTCCCTGCACCGCTCGCTCAGCCTCCTGTGACAGCTGTCAGAGAGGAGAGCGAGAACAAACATCAGCGATCAGTGAACGCTGAGTGTTTATAGATAATTGAGGACATGGTATGGTTACTATATCCTCAATTATGAATGAATGGGAAGTGAGCTAAATCACCTCCTGTTCATTCATGATTGTGGTTATAGTAAACATACTATATCCACATGTTATGAATGAACAGGAACATTCAGTATAGAGGATTCCTGTTCAATAATAACAGGGGATACAGAAAAAGAGATTGAGGACTCTGTGTTCTCAATCTCAGGTGTTTAGACCCCTGATATTTCCCCAAAGCCCCTAACAGTAAAGTAAAAAATACAAATATTTAATAAACAATGAATTAATAAATAAAAATAAATATAAAAAAATTAAAAGTTTATAAAAAATAAATAAAAATAAAATATTTGAAAAATTTGAAAAAATTAAAATAAAAACATTTTCAGTTTCGGTTTGGGCCTGACAATTTTTTGTATTTCGGTTTTTACATTTCTATTTCGGTGCACCTCTACTTTATATTTTTAATTTAAAGTATAGTCTTTAAACAGAAGGTATCTGAAGTTGTCACCACTATCACATATCCAAAAAATAAGGGCTTTATTTCTCATTTTAAACCAGTGCACAAAGCCTTGCAAATTATTTTCATCAAATTTATTTTGTGCCTGGGCCAACTGTCCTTTGAGAACTGCTCCTTTCTGCCCTAATGGGCTAAAGCAAGCATATAGGAATATTTTTACAGCTCTGCCCACTTTCTTAGAATGAAGAATAAACATCTCATTTTTTGGATATGTGATGGAAGTAATACCTCTATATACCTTATGTTTGAAAAAGTCTCTATTACTCTTCCAGCAGGTTAGGTGTTGAGCTTTTAGCCCACCTCACCTGTCTAGTTTTACATTCTCAAAGAAAATGTTAAATATAGACTTCTCATTTTGGAATATTGTTTTACTTTAAATAGCTTTAAATTACTGTACTTATAAGATTAATACAGATTATCCTTTATATAATATCACAGGGAAAACACATTCTTACTTTAACTTGCTTATCAAGTTCCTGCTTGAATATATCTTGCTTTTCCTTCAACAAGGTCTCCTTCACCTGTAACAATTGAACAGTAGAATAAATAGTCAATGTTTTAGTCATCATGTGGTTGAAGAGACCCTGCCACCAACGTATTAAATTGCAGCTATAAGCACAGAAAAGTCAAGTATTTTAGCTGCTTGCTTGCAGTGGTTTTCTTTTCATAAATCATTTTTTATTGATTTGCAATGTGCCTTGCAGTCCGTTCCCTAGCACAGCTTCTCCATTCTTCCACATCATAGCCTTCTCCTCTCTTGGGAGTGACTACTTACTCTCTGTAAATACTCACGTAGAGAGAGCATTGTTTTTTGCTCAGACCTGACCACCAGACTTGTATTATTAGGAAGGAACAGTAAAACACAGCCATTGCATGGCTATCTCTCATCTATATATACTAAAGAACTAAATCTGGCAATACACCTAAAGATTTTTCTCATGGCAGTGGGTATTGAGAGAGAAATCATTTGATTTACCCATCCATGCTAAAGAGCGTAGAAGGAGGAATCTCCCATGCCAGCTAATGTTTTTTGTCAGAATAACCAAACTGACTGCAGCTGACTGGCTGCAGTTACTGTTCTGCCAACAATTTTCCAGCCGACTCCTTTTAAAAAAGTTGATTGACAAATCGACGTTTGTAGAGTCAGCCGGCTGCCCAGAGATTGAATTTTGGCTCATTAAGCAGGAAAGCATTGTATCAGGTACCTGTTCGGGGAAGATGGCGTGTCCCTCTGCGGGGACATAGACGGAGACGGTATCCAGCGGCACGTCCCGGCCGCGCAGGCGCAGACGGCAGAAGATCGGCGGGTTGCGTCCCCGCGCGGCATGACGTCATCGCGTTTGTGCGGCGTGGTGACGCCGGCGCATGCGCAGTAGCTCGTCCTCGGCCTATATAAGGTGCTGCAGGACGCTCATTCAGTGCTGGGTGATCTTCAGCCAGCACTGGATGTTCCTTTGTGCTTGTTCCTGTCCCTGGTCTATTGCCCTGCCTTGCTCCTGTTCCTTGCCCATTGTGCTTGTTCTTGTTTCCTTGGCTTACTTGTTATCGACCCGGCTTGTCTCTGGACCTCTCTCTGGCTTATCCTTGTACTCCGCTGCTCAATTGTTACCGAACTGGCTTGTCTCTGGATTTCTCTCAGGTTTAACCCCTTGTACCGTCTTGCCTGCACGTTACTGACCCGGCTAGTCTCTCACGCTCCCTTCTGCCTTTACCCTTCACGCACGGCGGATATTTTGCTAGGTCACCAAGTAGACCTCGTGACCTACAGTTCCGCATCCGACACTCGTGCATCCCCTGCCTGAAACCTACTGTTCTCAATCCCAGTGGTCATCAGACGGGGTTGCAAGGGAGGTCCTCCTCGTCATCTCGGGCCCACACCACAATCCTAACACATTGACATACACTAGTAAGGTCATTTACATAAGCTGATTAATTTCACGTTTAAAAAAAAAAAGGATTATATAAGATAATCACATTTATATTACTGTTTGCTGCACTTGGCAATAGAACAATACAACATTTTGGAAGTGAAAAAATATTATTTTTCTAAAGGTAAATAGTGTTTCACCGCAGCACAATGCAAGGCAATGCATGATATTGTGGTACTGCTCGTTGCAATGAATGGCAATGCAACGCCCCAGTGCATGTTACCGCTGCGCTGTGTGATAGAGTGTGCTTAATGCATAGCATTGTGCATTTAGCACGCCGCTTATAGTGCTCTGACTGGGAAAATACAAGTAAATCATAATCAAGGTTATTCACAAAAAGGAGAAGAGTTTGGAGAAGGCAGAAGAAGTGAACAATCTAGGACAACATAGCTGAACTGGAAATTAATTGGATAATTTTTCCAAATCAGCTATTTTGGACTAGATTGTTCACTTCTCCTGCCTTCTCCAAACTCTTCACTCTTTTGTGAATAGACCTGAATGTATATATTAAATTAGATTTGAATTTGAGTCATATTTTAAGAATTCTATAAAAAACAAAATATAAATAATACTACTTATAGGTATTCACTTACCACACTAGTAAGATCCATTAGCTCCAACCATTTATGCCTCAAGTTTGCTACATCATTTACTTCTTCTCTAGGTATACGCAGCTTATAGGACCTGCCAATCAGAATGTGGTATTAAAGAAAGGGATGCATACTGTAAATGACAAACATATTTGCATAATTAGTTCTACATATATAGACTTCCCTCAAAAGGTATAACATTTGTTTAAAAATTTACAGTTATGATTTATGTATTCAAATGGAAAAAGGAGAGATGGGGGCGCCATTGCAATTTGAGTCCAAAACAATAGATCATACTATTTATTTTATGCAAAACTCCACTAAATTATTATCATTATTATTATACAGGATTTATATAGTGCCAACAGTTTGCGCAGCGCTTTACAATAAAAGGAAGACATTACAATCACAATACAATTCAAGACAAGATGGTAAGGAGGGCCCTGCCTGTGAGGGCTTACAATCCAAAAGGGAGGGGCAAGTGATACATGAGGAGGTATGCAGACACTGGTAAGTGCAGATCATCATTCATTTTATTGTGAGTCCATACATCGTAAAAGGAACTAAGTTTCACTTTATTCAAGCCCTGATAAAGGGGGATTGTGTGAATCCCTTAATATATACGTTGGCTGTTTCACCATACTGACCTTTTCAAATAAACTATTGTATTGGACTCAGATTGTGGTGGCGCCCCCATCTCTCCTTTTTCCATTTGAATCTACTTTAGAGCCCCCCTGTTTGGCTTGAGGTGGCCCTGTTTATGTGCGAGCAGCCTCTTTAAGAACGTTTTGAGCACCCGAAAGGAACAGATTCATTTAAAATGTGGGTGTCCTAGAGCAGCAAACCACTAGTGCCTCTTTTCACCTACACATGTATATGCTGTACATTTTGACACTGTCACAAAGTCTGTGTCATTAAAATACACTGTACCCCAAATGCAGCAAACCAACTTTGTCACATTTCCTTTTACTCATTCTTTTACACAAGGTCTTATACTCTTTAGAGAAAAAAATGGATAATGCATTTTATTTATTTTCTTTTTATAGTTTATTTTCTTTAAGACACAGGACTTCACTTGCTCCCTATGTTTGGAGAAGATCATTATGCTATTTATATTTACTCTATACTATTACTATATACTCTATGATCTCTGTCCTGTCTATAGCCTGATGATTGTTATTTTTACCTCGGAAGTATTACATCACTAACCTGGTCAGATTGTAATCCAATCCAATTCCACTATTATGACATATCTTGTTGTACAACTCTATTTTTCGGATTCTGTACTTTTGTAAATTTTCAATAAAAACGTATTGAACGAAAAAATGGTTTTCAGTGTAAACGTTAACAGGAGGGAAGAGCACTGAGATTAGATCAAAGTGCTACCTCCACACGTTACAGTCATCAAGAGGAAAGCAGGTAGATAGGTTACAAAAGTGCATAACAGCAGTGCAGAAAGTGGCTGTGCGGTTTGGCAGGGGTTACTGGATTGTCGACTGCATAGAATTACAAATCGTTTGGTGAGTAAAACCATATATTTATTTCATTTGATTATTTCACTATTGGCCTAAAGTTCACAAGTGTATTTTAGGTGCATGGGTGTTATAATGAAAAAATTGTTTTTCAGAAGATAAAATAAAGTTTTTTTAGAAATGAATGTGCTAAGCCTTGCTATATTAAAAGTCTTGCAGTACATTGTATCATATATTTTGATGATATATTTATTTTGGCCTTTGCTGCAACAACATGTTGATCTGCTTCATTGTTCACGCTGAATATGGCATTTTTGGTTTAGGAAAACACTGTCACAGTAAAACGATCATTCCTTTTCCTGGGGGTAAATGGTAACAATCTATAATGAGTCACAGAGGTTTTCAAGCAAACACTGCTAGAGAATTTAGTGATATCCATAAGCAGTTTACAGATTTCTCAAAATTAAGAAAAAGCAGGCAGGGAGATGTTCGGTTTGCTGCCTTAGGTGAGTTTTCACTTCTCTCACCTTGCATGTACCAACACAGATACGCATGCCCAAGTGTGCATACTTATATCCACAGAGAGGGAGATTGAGAGGACATGTGGACCAACAAATGTACACAGAATACAATTGCTCACTGATTTGACAATAACCAGCTGGATTGGCCAGGTAACCTCCTATTTCTGAGGACACAGTTTGAAATACGGTACCTATTGTTATTTCATATGTTACTTATATCTCATTCTTAAAACAAGAGAAAGATAATGTTTTATAATTTGCCTTCGGCTGCTGTACAGGCTATAGTGAATAGCCCATACAGCAGCCCTTCGGTTCGACCAAACCGAAGGGCAGAGGCGGCCGAAGAGAGCTGAAGGATCAGCTGAAGCTACGGCTATATCCTTCGGCTCCATAGTGAATAACCCCCTTAGTTTTACTCTCGTTTTACTTAGTTTTCAATGTATTGCAGATAAGACCTTAGTGTACACAATAGAAAAGTGAGCAATAAACGATTTAGAGTATCGAACAATGGCAAATACTAATTGTAATCCACATAAAAAGTCATTATTTGGCAGAAAGTTCAAAATAAACCCTTAACCAAAATGTACAGCTAAACTACTTAATCTAACTCTTAACATCAAACCTAGCCCTAACAAGTAATCTTTACACTCATCCTAATGTTAATCCCTATTCTATACTTACAAATAACCGTTAACACTCACCCTGAACCTTAAAATATAACCTAACAAAGTCCTGAAATTCTAACCCTTGACGTTACATTGCAACCAAAGCTTAAAAAAAATTTGTTTTGGATAGAGTGAAGAAGATCAGAGAACCTGTGTCCCAGTTATGGACAGTCACCCTCTCTATTTGTCCTGGTGACTGTTATCACTGAAAATTAAATTGAAAGAAAATCCCAAACTTTGGAGGGTCGTCAGAACAGGAATAGGTGGAAAATTCTCCCATGGGGACTCTGTTAACCACCAGGGATTTCCCTCACATTGGAGGGATATCCTCTCAATTCCTGTTGTGGCTATCCGATAGGAAGTGAAGGAAAATTTCCCCAATGGCACACAGAGGGCAAAAAAAAAAGCTGACAGGGGATATGATCTTCTTCACTCTATCCAAAACTACAGAAAATGTTTTGGCCTCAGTTCTACTTTAAGCAATAACCTTAACTCAACTCCTACCACTAAATTAACCTATTAAAGTGGACCTTTACCTTCTTTTCACTAAAAATCACATCGACATGCAGCTCTGCATGCTCATGTGAAATCATCTTACATTTGTAAGTTAAATATTCATATTTTTTCTTACAATTACTGTTTTTCCAATGCCTGGTCCTCTTAGGCATTAGTGATGTAGCCTGTGCCTAAGAGTTGCATCCTGGAAAGGTTACATTGCTGGGAAATCTCATATGTAAACTGCAAAATCTTGTAAGATCTTGGGGGAAAGGCATGATCACATGTCCTAGTCACATGTGCCAGAGTATCAGGAAGTAAAGAGATGGATTATTCTGCCCTTAGTGAAAATGACCACTGTCAGAAGACTGGGAAGGAAAAGAAAAATAAGGTATGCAAAAAATAAAAAGCCTGCAATTATCCATAAGTTTGCGTTTGTAGATTGTCATTACTAAACATTTATAAAGGTGTCTTTTTGAAGAAAAGGGTAAAATTTATCTCTAAAGTTTTGTAACTGCATTTACTATGCATGACGCTGTAACCTTCTCTCCTGCACTGAGATCTACCAGCATCCACATGTTTGATTTACCTTCCATATGTCCTAAGCTAAATACAGTAAACTCCTAGTTATCCGGCACCCATTGGGATCAGTAGATGCAGGATAATATAATAAATTTAGTTGCTAACAAAATGTGGCTATCAAGCAACTGGCAAAAAAAGGGCATATTATGATTTTTTTTTGCCAGTTGCTTGAGAGTGCCAGTTGCTTGAGAGTGATGGTTGCTTGAATGCCAGATAATCTGGAGTTTACTGTAATAATGTTAGTGTTTGGAATTTACCTGTTGCCTCGTACGCATTATATTAGCACCATTAAATGCACAAATTATAAGACTTCAAACTTAGTTACATCAAGCAAGAGGCATCCAATGTTTTGGAAATGAATTACATCAGTTTTGGCTATAAATGCTATTATCACAATAATATCACTATAAATGCAATAGCTGGACTTTTTTCCACATTAGATGCTTGTTACTCTGATCTAAGGACCAAATAGAAGAATCAGCATTATCGGTTTCCTACATATGCCATTTATTCACATGAGCTAAATTTTATTTGCTCTGGGGAAAAAGTAATGCTATAATACTGTTATATCAGGTTATGTAATTAGGGCATACTATAGCAGCATTGTCATTTAAAATCAATAGGAAATCATCCGTCATCATTCACCTGGCAACAGTAGGCTGAAAAGAGTGGATGATATCAGTTATGGCTCTTTGATCATCATTATTGCCCTCTGCACTGCTTTACGGATTAAGGCAAAGTGGGAACTAGTCCAAACTGTGCTTATACAAAGAATCTGTATGTTTTTTCTAGGAAATAATTGTATGTGTGCTGGTCTGCTGCATGCTGTATCTAATGTATCAATTAAAAAAACTATTAGCCTATGTGGGTGGAAAAGCGTACTGTCATGTTTTAATAGTTAATAAAATATATCATAGATATATATAGCGCAAATGCATATGTGAAAAGAAAACCTTATACAAGCTTCTTAAAGTGACACTAAACTCAGGACTCTTAAAAACACATTCAATTACCTTAACTATTAACAAAAATGTATCTTTTTTATGTATCACTCAGCTGTAGATCCTCAAATCATCTCTTAATTCATGCTGACACTGTTCTTGTGTTCTGGCTATTTTTGTTCCTCATGGTCTCTGTGTGTGTTGTAAAGTAGCCACTGCTCCAAGCTCACTCCCATGATGGACTACAATCTCAATACAAATTAGTAAACTAAATGTGAAACTGTAGTCCATCACGGGAGTGAACTTGAAGCAGTGGCTACTTTACAACATACACAGGGACCATGGGGAACAAAAGTAACCACCACTCCAGAAGGAAGGACAGTGTCAGCACCAATTCAGAGATGGTTTGAGGATCTACAGCTGATTGATACACAAATAAGATACATTTTTGTTAATTAAGGTACGTACATTTTTAAGAATTAACTCCAGAGTTTAGTGTCACTTTAGGACGGGTATACACGCTTATATTTTCTTTGTTCAACTTACAGAACAGCACGGATAGATGAATCTCCTGCTGGTTTTATTGTATCCTGACAGAAGCCACTGGCCACTGAATCGGCTGAATCGGCTGAAATTTGTTGTGTGTATACCAAGTTTTATTCAGTGCTTGTTATTTAATGGAGTATTGTAATAACAGCAGCTGTGTGTTCACTGTCTCTTTGGGTAGACGGCCTCAAGAGGGGTTTTTTTTTGCGCAGGACTCCATACAGCAGGCAGGTTTTAAATTGCCTGCAACTATTCTCATTGCTTTTCCAGCATTAGAAAACATAATCAGCATATCCAGCATTAAATGAAACAGTTTGCCCAAGGAACTAAACTATAACTCATAAACATAAGAATTGAGCTTTGCCTGTTCAGCTCTCACTACATAATCAAACTCCCATTCCAGGAGGGAAATTGTCCTTGACTGAAAATGAAAAAACAATAGTTGCAAAGCTGTCGCCTCACACTGTCTCTTTGTTACCTACTCTGCCTTTTGAGACTAGGAAAACTTAGGAAGGAAGCTGCCGTTATTATGAACAACAATCACAGCACTGGCATAAATACCCTTGAGTACTCCAGTTTTTAAGGTACAAGTACCGATACTTTCGAGCTCCAAGACTAGAATAGAGAAAAATTCAAAAGTTAGGAGGCAGCTGTCATTTGTAAGGAGCACACAGAGCTCCTGGGATTTGTACATCTCTGTTTTAATGTATGAATTTGTTTTTATAAATATAAATAAAGGGATGCACCGATACCAGTTTTGCAAGTACAAGTACTGATACTTGCCCAAGTACTTACAAGTACGAGTACTGATACATTTTTGTTTATTGTCATGTGACAGTTTTTCTAAAACAATATCGACTAATGATTTCAGGGCAGTGCTGGAGCACCAGAGCTAGATCCCAGCTGCAACCTCTGCAACCCTGGTAGTTCTCATGAAAATGGCAAGTATTGGCATTGGTACTCGAAAAGTATCGGTGCATCCCTACACAACACTATACCAGTGGTGGAACTATCGCCATAGTGACCAGGGCGGACGCTATGGGGACTGGGGCACAGGGGGGGTCCGGCCAGGACAAGGAACAAAGGGGTCCCCCTGATGCCGTACAGGCTGCCTGGGTCGCTATGGCATCGCAGACTGCTGGCTGCCACTGGCGACTGTGTGGAGGAATGCGACACTGTCCAGATCACTGACAATCTGTCAGTGATCTTTGCAGCGGCGCGGCCCTCCTCACAGCTGCTGCTGAGTCAGTGATAGCCAGCAGCTGCAGAGGCAGAGACTGGGCCCAGGGTTGGCAGTGGAGGAGGAGGCAGAGCCCGGTGGTGGAGGAGGCTGACAGTGGCTCAGGGCTTACAGGTAAGAGGTGGGCAGGGGTGTGACCAGCCCACCTGAGACCCCGCAGAGCCCACCATAGAGAGTGTCACTCTCAGGTGGGCTGTTTGGGATCTCAATTGGGCTCTGCAAGGAGCATAACTAGAAATTGCAGGTCCCCATCCAAAATTTTTTATGGGGCCCTATGATTTTTAGTTACCCCTGCACTATACATTAGAGAAAGGCAAACTCTGGTCCTTCAGTTGTGATGAAACTACAAATCCATAATGCATCTGCCTCTGGGAGTCATGCCAGTGGCTGTCAGAGTCTTGCAATGCCTCATGGGATTTGTATTTCTACCACAGCTGGAGGGCTAGGGTTTGCCTATCCCTGCTCTACACTATCCAAACTGGCTTTCCCAGTGCTTCTCTTATGATATGGTAAAAGAAAGTTGGTTTGATTGCCCAGGATGGCAAATTATGCACACAACACACCTTAGATGTTCATACATGACTTCTATAGGCCGATACACTTCATCTATTTTATTTTCCATGTCCTGCAGATCTTCTAGCAGTGTTAAGATGGAGTTTAACTGTTCTAGGCTTTCCACTGGTGTAGTGAGCTGCTGCCATACTGTCTCTCTGTATTGAACAACACGGTGAAGATCATCCTGAAAGATATTTCGAAAATAATGTCACAGCCTATATTAACATCCATTACAGGAAAAACAGAACTAACATTTCATAAAGTGCTTGTACCTTAACACGCTGATGTAATATTGTTGCATAATGAGACTTCCAGCTTCCTGCAAATCCATTTAGGGTGTCCTTCAACAAAGAGTAATCAAGACATATACAACCCAATTCCAAAACCTAGAAAAGAGAGGAAGATAATTCATAGGTATATAGTAATAAAAAGTCATACGCACATGAACAAATATCAATCTTTTTTAAGCATGCTAGCAAAAATAAAATAGATTTTAATTGCAATTATCCTCTTATCTTATACAAGTTTTTGTGGTAATACTAAAGATTAAAGGTCAACTTTACCTTTTGGACCATGTTTCATGTTACAAACTTATTCAGGATGTAACATTGAACATGTTGTTCTTTTCCCCACAGGCTGCTGCACAAAAAGTGGACTTTGCCTTTAAAGTAGACCAGTGTAGAAACAGGTATGTACATTTTAAATATGGTGTCATTTTACATAGGGGAAGTACAGACCAAATGTCAAAATAAAGTGACATCCAAACTGTAAGCAAATTTCATACAGTATGGCAGTATAACACAACTGGTTTCTTGCACCATATTTAGGCCCTAATGTAAACATTAGAATGAAGATCTCCACTCTTATGTGTGAGTTCTCCACTCATAGTTCACTAAGCAGTCATGTACGTATCGCACAAGAAACTAAAACAATGGAGATATATAGCAGATGTTTAATGCCATTGGTCACATGCTGCCATTTATTTTCTAAAATGTAGTCAGAAAGTTACAACTTGAATTAAATTAATTGCTATGGGTAGCACTCAAATTGTTACATAATTAGAAAACAGACACAATTGAGTTCACCCAATAGAGAAAAAAAATGAATAAATAAATATACATCCTCCATAAACAGAACCCATTGATGCTGCTAGCACACAGTAGAGTCCAACTATTGATCTTTCACTGAAAGCAGCAACCTGCTTTTCCAGTGGCACAGCTGCAGCACTTAAAGGAGAACTATGGGGTCAGGGCTTTTCCCCATAGTTCTCCTAAGGGTAACGGGAGGACACAAACTAGCTTCCTCCCGTCAACCAAAGCTCAGTATACCGCGAGCTGCAGCTCGCGGTATACTGAGACGCTGCAGCCGGGACGGATGCCGACATTACTGTCTGGATCCACCCAGCTGCGTGGGTGGCAGAGCCAGCTGTACCCGCCCCCTCCCATGTCCGTTCCACCAGTCAGCGAAGGAGGATCGGTCAGGGGACGGGGGAATTCCTACAGGGAGCCTTGAGTGACAGTCACGGCTCTCTGCAGGGAGATGATCGAGAAGTGAGCGAGCGACAGTTTGTGTTTGCTCACTTCCCGATCTATTGAGCTGACCTGTGACAGTTTCATTGTCACAGGTCAGCTAGAACTATGAGGCTGAGTGATTTTTACTCACCTCATAGTTCTCCTTTAACGGTGTAAAAACAATAAAAGAGTCCCATATTTATTACTGTATATGAAGACTGAATATATATTAGTAATAAACAATGAGGGTTCATTGCTAACAACTCCTGCAAACTGTGAGCAGCACCAAAGACCCCCTCAAAAGTGGACACTTACTAAAAATGACTCATTTTGTAAATAAGCTCCTGTAGGTGACAAATGTCATTGAAAAAAATTTCAAAACCTCTCACTTAGGAAAAATATAAAAAATTAATAAGGCAGAATTTATTGGGATGCATGAGATAACATTGTATAGCCTTATTATAATTTTTTTACCTTACCTCAGGATAACCTTTTATTTTCTCTTCAATATCTAAAAGTCGTTTCACTTCCTTGTGAATGATGGCAAGGCCTGGATTGGCATTTAAAAACTCCTCGCTTTGCTTGTACATGTTATCTGACCACAGGAAGTCGTAACAACTTAGGCTGAAAACATGCTTCTTTACCACTGGGTGAATATCTTAGATTTAAAAAAAAAAAGACATTATTATGTACAAACTAAGTAAACAATGTACAGTTTAAAGTCAACTGAGCCAAGTCTGCCCAGTAAGCAACCACTAAGTAGGCATTACATATATGTTTTTTTGTGGGTTGAGTCCCAGGTTCATATCTGTCTTGCATGCTTTATTCACAAGATCTCCTTGCCATAATTTCCCAATCTGTTTCTGTCCACCTGGGAGTTTTGGATGTTCTCACCCTCCTTTGTGTTCCAGCACCTTGTTGCATTTTCCATAATATAAAAAAAATCCAACAAGGAAAGTGGCGCTCCCACAAAATGGCCACAGCAGGTGTTCAGAACCAGTCTTGGGTGGTCTAACGTTTTAATATTACATGCAATACTCCTTTATATACAAATGTTGCAATAGAATATTAATATAAATACAATATGAATATAAATACAATATGTCTACCTCGCATTGTTGTCTCAACCTTTGTCACAATGTGTTGCAGTTTGTTATGTGCAGCTATAGACACTTTAAAAGCTTGCCCCTTCCTCTCTCCAGACCACCAGCTCAGAGAATCACTGATGTTTATAATGGAAAGAACAACTTGCTTGATGGCATCCTGAGCAACATCCATAGGGGGATTTATAAGGATGTGCGGTATTTTAAATATGAGAGACAGCTTAAACCTGTAAAGGAAAATAAATAGATGAGGTGAGGTTTATGTGATTCTTCAGATATAAGAGACCTCATTAAGAAATGCCTAATGATGAGAGCAACCTTGGCCTTCACATTATACCCATATTTGTTGCCATTTTGAAATCAATCATCAACAGTAATAAGTTGTAAGTGTCACTGAAGCTCTATAGCAGAAGTGGGCATTTTACGCCCCCGGGCCACATCCATCACTTTTGGCTGTCCCTAACTGGCCTGCAGTCCAGACACAGACCAAGTGGCAGTTCAGTCTGGACTGTAATCGCTGACCTGCACTTGGTTATGGCTGGCTGACGGTGGATGCACCAGCCTCCGAGGCGGATGCATTCAGTGCCAGCCATAGCCAGGAACAGGACCGCTGATATCCTAGCATTCAATGACATCAGGTGTCCACCTCCTCTGCAGTCATTGGCAGTCCTAGCAACCAGTGACTTCAAATGTGTTCCCTGACCCAGCATTTCAGGAGGATGAAAAAGTAGGTTCTGCCGTCCTCTTCTGCAGCCTGCTCCACCACCTGCCCCAGCATTACAGGAGGATGGAAATGTAGGTTCTTCCGTCCTCTTCTGCAGCCTGCTCCACCTCCCAGCTCCCGCCTCCGGCCTCCTAATAAAGTAGTAAACTAAGGTTTGTGGGGACAATAATATAAAGGGGCACTCAAAAGGGGACAAACAGTGGACAGGTCTAAGAGACCTGCAACATTTACATCCAGAACACTGGGATCTAAGAGATCTGCAGCTCCTGCATCCAGAACGCTGTGATCTAGGAGACCCACAGCAACTGCATCCAGATCGCTGGGATCTAAGAGACCTGCAGCCCCTAGATCCCAGCGTTCTACATGTAAAGGTTGCAGGTCTCCTGGGATCTAAGAGACCTGCAGCCCCTGCATCCAGAACACTGGAATCTAACATCACATCTCTTAGATCCCAGCGTTCTACATGTAAAGGCTGCAGGTCTCCTGCAGCCTTTACATATAGAACGCTGGGATCTAAGAGATCTAAGAAAATTCAAGGCATAGATACAAATATAAAATTTGCATTAGGGCCCTTTCACATGGGCTGATCAGGAGGGAATCCGTGCACAGATCCTCTCCTGATCGGATGTCACCGCTGTAACATTTGCATCTGTCCAATCTACAGCAGATTACCCCCAATCCGGCATGATCAGGTCCGTCGAAACTGTCCCATTTGTTTTTCTGGACCCTGCCGGAGTCGGGGGTAACTGGGTGTAAACAAACACCCATCTGTTTAGACCCGGATTTCCATAGACTAGCATTGGGCATCTGTCAGTTTTTTAGCTAAACTCGATCTGAATGCTCGTGTGAAAGGAACCTAAGATTCATACTTTTTATTGAGTACATTTGAATTAAATGCTGGGCAACGTACAGGAGCTCATACCAACTCACAGATACTCTGACACATATCAACTCTTTATATGTGCCAGAATTGCCAGATGGTCAGTGTAGGTCTGAAATTGGCTACAGCATACTGAAATCAGACTAGCTGCAATCAGTTACTGATTTGTGTACTGTGTTACTGTTTAATAGGATACACTGTAAAAGGTGATGTATCCACGGAACACTCATTATTTGTAGCAGTGACATAATAAGGAAAGTGTACCTTTAATCATTATGTTCATGGTTTAATCTTTGTATACAGTGTGATGTTTTACTGGTGCATAGTTGCTGAAACACTTATTAAACATTCCAGTAAATCTTTTCTACCTATAAATAATTATAAATAATGTATACATACAGCAAGGCGTATGGAAAACACATTGCTGAAACTCTACCTCAGTCTCTGTTCCTGAATTTTAGGTCCCAGAAGAAGATTAGATGTATCGAGAAGTGGCTTCTTTTCCTGATGGTTGAATCCGTCTGATTTTTGACCGGATCCTAGAAGTTCAGTTGTAAAAGATTCCATGTCACAGCCTATAAGCTGTGCTAGGATGACTAATGAATGCAATATACAGGTGAACACAGCCTGATACAACTGCTCACTGAGTGATTCTGGAAATAAAAGATGGAAGCAATTGAAGCATGATCACGTTTACAAAGCACCTTAACTCAATTAAGTTTATTTTGTTCAAATGTTCAACTAAGCTTGTGGTCAGTCTCACCAGAGACAATGTAAACCAATCAATCTAAAATACGAAAACAGTTTACAAAAACAAGATGTTAGTACGTGAAAAACTTCTTACAGAGTAAACCTTACACAAACATTATTATGTATTCCACAAAACATGTATAAACAAAACAGAACATTATAAAGGGCACTACACCCTCTAATCTTTGTTAGACAAGGAAGGGGCCATCTTGGCCTCTATTTGGAATGCAGTTGCCATGGTGCTGCATATGTGATCAGCTATGACACCAAATTTTTAGGGCTTCAAATTTCGGTTAAGAGCTGAAATAAGCACACTGGCAACCTTGATAGTTATTACCAGAGGCATGCCTTGAATGTAACTGTTTTGGGAGACAGTTAACTTGGTGGGTAAAGTTCGTCTTTAAGCTCCCGTTCACACATAGATGTTTTGTCGCACAGAGCTAAGCGTGACAACAGGTTCAAGACAATGGGGGGAATTTATCAAAACTGGAGCAGAAGAATCTGGAGCAGTTGCCTATGGCAACCAATCAGTTTCTAAGGTTTGAAAATAAAGGGTGGATGCTGATTGGTTGCTATGGGCAACTGCTCCATATTCTGTCTGCTCCAGTTATGATAAATTCCCCTCAAGGAATCCTATTCGCTTGTCTTGAGCACGACATAAGGCACTAGACAATGAATCCCATTCATTTCTATGGCCCCTGTTCCCATCTGAGCATTTTGTCGCAAAGCAGAAAAACACCTTTAGCTGGAAAAAGTACACAAGCTACTTTTTGGCAGATTGCAGCACTTTTTGGTCCTATAGACTTTGATGGAAAACGCCTAGAAATATGTGTTTCAAGCATTTTTGCATGTTTTGTCACACGTTTGGCCGCACAAAGTTTCCGCTTGCAGTCTATGGGACCAAAAAGCGCTGTAATCTGCCAAAGACAGAATCTGATTGGATACTATGGACAGCTGCTCCCGATTTGATAAATTCCCCTCATTGTGAGCTGCAAGTGCAACATCCTGTGCCAAAGACTCTTATCAGCTAGTATTGTTCCCAGCTCTCTCTGTGGATTACAGAACATGCACCCCCTTATGCTATGGACAGGAGGAGAGGGGCAGGTGTGGTGTAGTCCCAACATACTTCCTGTCCTTGGGTGACAACACTGCTTCTCCATTGATATAGTACAGTGGGAGAGCATTGTTACTCTAGGACAGAAAATGTATTACTTGCAGGATAAGCACGTGAAAATAAACGGAAAACGAACTTAAAAAAAGAAAACGAATGCAGCCATCTAAGGGCTGATGTGCTACAATATACAAATATTCTTAAAATTTGATGCTTTAAAGCCTAAGACTCTTTTCGTTTTGGATAGATGGAGGAAGTTTTAGTATTTCTGTCAGGTTTGTACTTCTGTCTAAGACCTCGTTGGAGAGTCTTACCCTCATTTCCTGTCCTTGTGACACCGATATGTATAAAAAATGGGATGGGGAGCAGGAGGGCAAAGACAGCAATAAAAACATTGACAGAAATGCGATCCCTTCCCTTCCAAGTGTTTTTGACTTTGTCTGTATCCCCGTTGGAAAGACTGCCCATCACTTACAGTAAGTGAGGGAATATCCTCCCAACAGTGACACAGAAAATAGTGAAAACCTGACAGAGGCTCTAATCGTTCATCATTCTATCCAAATACAAAATAAACAGTTTCGGCTGAACTTGTGTGTTAAAAAGTCATTTTCAAGGACAGATAATCAGACTGTGTGTTAAATGAGAATCTATATTCTGTGCACATTCACCCAAAATGTTCCCACTGTATACTAAACATTCACCAACATTATACTCACTGCATAATAAATATGGTGAATGTTTGGTAAATGATGGTGAATCTGGCAGAATTACTCTACCAGTTATATGCCCCCTAGTAATAATGGCACTCTATATGCTATCAGGAGCATTAAAGACAGTGACAAGAATAAATGTGAACTGAGCAGTCAGTGTGAGATGTACACACCCAGGACTTGACTGGTGATTTCTTCGGGGTAATCCACAATGGAGTTATCTGAGGATAAGGACACTGTCTGTGGTTTACATGTTGTTCTTTTCATCCTGGAATTAGAAGCTGTAGACCTCGAACAAGCAGATGGCCTGTTATTTTCCTTTGTGGATTCCTGAAACCCAAACACATCTTACACTGTAACACCATAACCCAGAAAGCATTAACATAACATCATTTATAACACAAATCTACCAAACGTGAAGCGCTGAGTAATCAAATGGCTAAAAACATATAACACGCTGCATATTCCCATATAAGATAAGCAACTTTCTGCAGGTATATACTGTATCTAGCATGCTGCTCCACATGAAATGACCCTTGTGATTTATATTGTGATATATATAAATGTTTATTCATTAGAAACCTAACCGTTGCTACATTATTATGCTGTTGGTGTGAGCTAGCAATTAATATAAGCATTACACTTAGCAGCCGGCTTAAGTTGCTCATCCATAGGTGGATAAAATGATTCATTTTCTAATGATCATAACTTTGCTGGAGCCCCTATTTATCTATCCCAGAAATCCACTCTTCAGCCCTGCATCTAAGCGACTTTACATTTACACACTATACATTTATAGGATTACCTGGAAAGACTTCAGTGATTTTAAGATATCCTCAAATGCATTTCTAATGGTAGATGCCATTGCTTCTAACTTAGCCTTCCTTTCCACCAGAATAAGCTCCATGAATTGCACAAACTCCACAGGATTCTAAAAGAATAAAAACATACACATAAGCACCAAACAATCTCATTGTAAGTAATGGATCACTGCATCTTTATGCCCTCCATCTACTTTCAAAGCATTAAATATTAATGGGTGTGATAGTTCTTCTAAAAGATATAATAGAAGAGCATTGCTTAATCTTTTTTTAGTCACTGCACCCTTTAAAAGTATGCAAAGTCTACAGACACCCCAGTCTAAAATGTAAAAAAAGGTATATGTAAAAACAACCTTTGCGCCCTCCAAAAACCATACCAGACTCTTATCCCAGATTAGAGTCTGGTATGAATTTTAATGGGGGATCCAATGTAAAACACTTAACAAATAGGGTTCCACCTTGACAGAGACCACCCTTCAAATCAGGGGACCCTTCACATCAGGAACCCCCCCCCACACCCCCCCCACCCGCGACACACTCTCCCTG